ATATATATATATATGTATCTGAGAAATATTTATGCTTCTTATGTGTGAGAGTAGTGGAATCTGTGCATTTTTGCCTATGGCTATTTTTATTATCCCTACTCTAATGCTCAGCGAAGAGTTTCTATCTGGCTAATGCAGGACTGAAAATGGGGATGCGTGCTGGGAATGGATTCTCTCTACTGGGAATTTGTAGACGATGTCCATGCCCAATAACATCGTCAGACGTGGCAATCATTGAATTATAAAAATAAGTAATACACTGGAACATAAGCTGAAAAAGATATAAAATCCATATGCTCAAGAGGATAGAGGGAAATATGAGTACGATAGGCAAGACAAATTGTCCAGAGATGATAAATAGTACGGTCTTTGAGATGAAAAATACACCAATTACAGCTTACACATGGCAGAAAAAAATTAGTGAACTTGATGACATAACAATAAAACTATCCAAAATGAACCAGAAAAAAGATGGATCAGTACTGGTAAACATTAAATGTCCTAATCTATGCAGTTGGAGCCCCAGAAGAAGGAGGAAGGAACAGAAAATTATATTTAAAGAAATGTTTGAACATTTTCCAAATTTAATGAAAAGTCTAAACTCAGATATTTTTGAATCTCAGTACACTCCAAATAAAAGACACATGGAGAAGACTAACCAGATACCTAGATTGTACATCATTATTTAGATATGCATAAAGGAACTAGCTAGTCTAAATATTTTTTGAAGTAAGGGCAAAAGGAAGTAAGATGCAATTAAGCAAATCAGAAAATTTTGACATCCATAATGGACATGACCATGTTTCTTAAGAACATGTCCAATTTTTAAATATAGATAAAAGCATATTGCAACATGGTTATGACAGGTTGCTTATTTTCTACAAGACCAAACAAAATAAAGCAATAAAACATTAACAAAAGCCTAAGATTATTACTGCATTATCAAATAAGTGACTTATTTGGGAGGGGCAGCTTTGAGGCAGAATCTTGCTATGTAGTTCAGACTGGCCTTGAATACTCACTGTGTAGCCCAGACTGGCCTGGAACTCGAAGCAATCCTCCTGCCTCACCCTCCTGATTGCTGGGATTACAGCTGTGTACCACCATGCCCTCCCAAGTGACTCATTTTCTCTGGTAGTTTGGCAGAAAAGGGATCTGAGATTTGGAGTCCAGTAAATTAGAATTTGAATTCTTTCCTCTGTGTATGACTTTGAAGAAGTGATTTTTAATCTTTCTTGTCTTCGTTTCTTCATTTATACATTTAGAATAACACTACCCAGATTTATGGAGTTATTGATGGCTAAATGAGCTAATAGGTATGAAAATGCCTAGCCCAGTGCTTGATATATTATTTTTCTCTTTCCAATGTTCCTTCTCAAATATTTTCTGGCATCTCCCTCTTTTTTTTTTTTTTGGTACTGGGCATTGAACTCAGGATCTTGTGCTTGTGAGGTAGGCAGTGGAACTAATGGTGTCTCTTTTTGTTTATCCTTAACCAATGATATTTTACTGGAGGAGACCTTAGCTGTCATTTAATATGTGGTGTTCTTTTTACAGATGAAGAAATAGAGATCCAATGAGATCACATGTTTACCAAGGGAGAGAATATTCTGTTATCAAACTTTATTGTGTAAATAATGATATTAAATGCAATTTCTCTGTGCCTTCTCAGAAGTAAAATAGGAGTTAACATTTGCTGATGATTTGATTTTAGAACACAGTAATGCAGATCTTAAAACTCGATGTTTGAATAAATATGCTCATAGTATAACCAAATTTCTAGAATCGTAGAAGTATTATTACAGGTATTTTATGGGAGGATAAATGAGACAATATGAAGGCAAGGAGCTTAGCTTTCAAGCTCCTGGATGAACTAATTACAAACTAGATATCTGAATACTGTGTTCAGTGTAGAGGGATATGCATCTTAAAATAGACATCCTGTAAATATATGTAGCAAAGACTATAACAAGACATCACTTTAAATATGAAAAATAATTTGTGTGTAGCATAGTATGTAAAACATAATTATAATGTGTGCTTGTTTTTTTTAACCAAAATTAATTTTAAACATGAGTAGAGACCAGAATATTGACCACGAAGAGAGCTCACACCCAGAAAGCCACATAGAAGCCATGGTGTGGTGTGTGGCTCTCTGGGCAGGTCCCTGGAGATCAGAAGGAAGCTTTCCATGTTTCCATTTTTAAGTACTTGCAATTGTTTGATTTAAAATATATATTAAAAAATTAGCTGCAGAGACTATTTATAGTTACTGGAACTTTTCAGAGAGAATAACAAAAGCACTACAGAGCTACTGAAATTTTAAATAATTCTTTGTAAATGCCCTAGGTTAATTTAGATCCCTGAAAACACATTAGGAAATTAAGCTGTAATGTGAGCTAATTCAGATTTTAATTTGGCAAAAAGAATGATCCAACTACACAGTTAATGTAAATAGAAGCATAACACAGGGAAATTAATGAGGTTTCCTTCCGATGAATCTTCAAGGAGGTAGATAATTAGCTTCTTTTGTTATTATTGTAGGAGAATGTGGCATTGTCTCTGAGGTGTAAAATAACTGTGGCTTACTAAGTGATAATGTGCTTCATTTGTCTTTTTTAAAAATAATTATTTATGTTAAACTCTTGCAGGATGAAGCAGCAGCACAGCCGCTGAATCTCTCATCCAGACCCAAGACAGCAGAGCCTATAAAGTCCCCAACATCTCCCACCCAGAGCCTCTTCCCAGCCAGCAAAACCAGCCCTGTCAATCTGCCAAACAAAAGCAGCATTCCCAGCCCCATTGGAGGAAGCTTGGGAAGAGGATCCTCTTTAGGTAAATGGAAAAGTCAACACCAGGAAGAGACTTATGAATTAGGTAAAAGAAAGCAAACCTGTTTAGTGATGACTGATCCTTTTTCCAATGTGCTTCTTAGTAAAAGATAACACTCTTAACTTTTTCACTTAAACATAGCTCAAATTAGTATGTTGGGTGATTAGAACTTTTGGAAAATGTCATAATAGAGATCCTGAAGTGGGTTTTTTTTTATGGTGATGGGTTAGATTCAGTGAGTCACAGACTTAGGAATTTCTGTATTTAGTCAATGCTTTGCCCCTAGAATATCTCTTCAAGGACCCCAGGACCTGGCCTTAAAGCTACTTATCAAAAAGGCAAAATTGCAGGGCTGGGGATATAGCTCAGTGATAAAGTTCCTGCCTAGCATGCACTAGCCCCTGAGTTCAATCCCTGGTGCTAAAACAAGCAACAACAAAAAATTTTTCTTTGAAAATTTTACTTCTAGCGTCTCTAGGGGCATTCATCTCTCTGTATATAAAGCATGAGAGGAAAAAACATAGATTTGGGAATGAGACAAGCTGGGACTGAAAACCTTCACCAACTAGCTGTGTGACCCTGGGAAAATTATTTAATATTTTTGAATTCATTTCCTAATCTTTGAAATGGGGAGACAGGGATTTAGCTTGGTGATTGCACTACCTGCCTCGCAAGTATAAGGTTCCGAGGTCCATCCCTGGTACAAAAAAAAAAAAAAAAATCACAATGAAAGGGGAATAATATTATCTAGTTTATAAATTGTTATGAAAATTAAAAGAAAAAGTGCATATAAAGTGCCTAGCACAGAGTTTAGCACATAGGATGCATTCAGGTTTAAAAGATTAGGGTAAATAAATATATACAAGGAATAAAACTATGATTATGAAAGCACTTAGCAGGAGAATGTCAGAAAGTATTACTATTGTTACTGCATCCTGTATGTTTCTTAATTTCCAAATACAAAAGAGATTCAAAGGGGTTAGGGGGCTGGGGGTTTAACTCAGCGGTTCGGTGGCCTGTCTTGCAAGCACAAGGACCCGAATTTGATCCCCAGTACCAAAAAAAAGGCGGGGGGTTTAGGGACTAGATCTAGCATTTCTTCACTATGTTACCTTCCTTGTATTATTGGGTCCTGAATCCTGGAATTCTTGCTCTATTAGCCAGAATGATGTATAAGCCATTTATAGTTTATCTCATTTAGTTTCTCACAATCATTTTGTTATTATGCTCATTGTATGGGTAATGTGAATTGTGGTGGTTCTTACTGATAGAATGATTTCACCACTGCTCTGTAGCTATTAATTAGCCCAAGCAGGAGTAGAATCAGGGTCCTCGTATACAATCCAGTCTTCTTTATAAACTCACAGAAGGGATATTTGCAAAACTGAGCTGGGTCTAAGTGAATCTTTTGAAGGAGATGTAAATCTTCCTCATTGGAATTTGGGACAATAGGATCTGGGCAGCAGCCTGTTCTTATTTTGGGTCAGGATGTCTCTCTCACTTACAGACCCAGAGGGTTTTACCTCAAGTTAGTGGTGTCTGTGTAGAAGAGAGAGTGAAACATTTCTCATATGTGAATATGAAGAATAACTCTGGGCTGTAGTTTTAGATGTTTTGAGATGAAAAGCAAAAAAGCCAACAGAAAGATAAATAATAGGCGAAATTTTGGAAATGGCCTCCTATAATTCACTTCTGTATTTTGTTTGGAAAGCATTTCTTCAGGGCACTGTGGCTCTTGAGATGCAGAGATGACTGTGTCATTGGCCTTGCCTGCTCTTGTGGGACTTCAGCAGACTGTATTTGTTAGGTCATGAGCCAGATGGTCTGAAGTAATAGCACCTGTAGTTAGACAGCACTCTTGTCCAGGTAGTATTGGACAAAAATGGCCTTTTTTGTCAGAAAAGCTCTAAAAATAGCATTTTTCTATATCTTTAAAAATAACCTACTTAAAAAGCATTTTGATAATCTTGAAAAATTTTTTCTAAACTCAAATGCATGTACCTATGCATTGCCCATATGAGACATGTAATGTCGCTTGACAGTAGTCTGGTTTCCTTTGGGTCCATAGCTATGTGAGGTGCCCACACTCCCCTCATACACACACATGCCATACACATGTGCTATGAAATGCTCATACTAGGCCTCAAGCAAGTGGATCGTGTTAAAATTCAGCGCAGCACCTAAAACCTATTGATCATCGAACAATTGCCTTCTTTTTGTCTAAAAGTTGGAAAAAAAATCATTGAAATTATTCAGTTTACCCATGGTAAAAATGCAAGATAAGAAGAAAAATTAGTCATTTTGAATTTTTGTCTCTGCATTTTGTGAAATATAATGAGAGCAAATATTTATCCTCACTTTATTTGAGTCTTTGTATTTATGTGAAAAACATTCCCACATATATTGCCTTGCCTTTGTGAAGACAGGAAGCTGAGAGCAGTGGGTGTTCGAGCTGGGGGTAGGGAATGGGTTGTCATTCGTTTGGTAAATAACTGAGGCCGCGTGATGGGAAGAATGCTTCATTAACCAGCCAGCGATTGGGGAATGGAGAGTGTGGTGTATTCCTTTCCTGCCCCCTCGCTCCTCCAGTGGACACATGAATACACACGTACAGATGTCACTAAAATACACATGTAGCTTCAAAGATTTTTTTTCTGCTGGGCCGCAAACAGCTTTCCTGCATGGGTAGACCAAACATTATGGGGAGCCTGGTCTCCTTTCCCTTTATTTCCTTGCTGCTTCCCCACAGAGGAAGCAATGTTATACACAAATTGTGGGTACAGTCAGAACAGTTATTAGATACACAACAATTGGAATCTAAGAAACTTCAACTGTTAGAAGGTGGGGAAACAAAATGCCCATTGAGTGGGGTGCTGGCATATCCTCCAAAGGCAAAAAGAAAAAGAACACACACACACACACACACACACACACACACACACACACACGGCTTGGTTGCCCTGGCTTTCTGTGCTCTGTGCACAGTGTGGTGCAGATTTCTTAATGACAAACATGCCTCTGCTCAGAGAATGCGCAGTTTTGCAGGGGAGTGGATGGTAGTAGTACTTTTAAAGAATTCAACCCTAATAATGCATCCTGTGTATACAGATATCTTGTCCAGTCTCAACTCCCCTGCCCTGTTTGGGGATCAGGATACAGTGATGAAAGCCATTCAGGAGGCTCGGAAGATGCGAGAACAGATCCAGCGGGAGCAACAGCAGCAACAGCCACATGGTATTGATGGGAAACTGTCCTCCATGAATAATATGGGGCTGAACAACTGCAGGAATGAAAAGGTAACACTTGCTCCTCTCTTTCACTGGTTCTGCTAGACCTATTGGCTGACTGTAACCTGACTCTTTCCAGGCCTTCAAGGATTGACCTGCAGACCAAGATTTAGGTTGTTAGCATAAGAGCAGTCTTATTTTATGCAAATTTGTCATTTAAGCATTACTGCTGACTAACAAATACACCTGTCCCCACTTAGCATGGCTTGCCTTGTGAGCACCCAATCTATTGGTCAGTGTTTCTATCACATACTGAAATACTTAGAAATGTGCTATAATAAAGAGTGCATATGATGTTAATAGAATAAGAATAGCATATCAGAGTATTAAAAAGGAAAGAAGCATATATAATTACAGTGAAGGCTAATGTGATACCATAGCTCACCATTAAATTTAATATTAAGTTTCCGATCAACTAGGTCAAAAAATAATTTTCAGAATGCATCTATTTACTTTTTGATTCAACAAATCATTTATCTGCTATCTATTCTATGATAGACTCTGTATCAGGTACTGGAGATAACAGAGTGAGTTAATCTGATTAAAATTCCTGCTCTCATACAGCTTATGTTCTCATGGAGGAACATAACCTTAAAGACATAGGTCACTAAACATGTAATATCAAGGGGTAAATAAATGCCATGAGAGAAAATAGAAGCAAGTTACGGGAGTAGGAAGTGCTAGGGTGGTTACTTTAGATGGGATGGTAAGAACCACCTGGGGAAGTGACATTGAATAGAGGAGACCTCAATGAAAACATTCGGACAGTGCCTTGCTACCAGAGTGTCTGGAGAGAAGAGGCAGGGAGGAGACATGAAGTAAATGCAATGGCCCAGGGCAAAGCATTTTAGACCTGGTAGACCCTGGATGGAAAGACTTTTTGTTTTATCCTACATGTGATGGGAATCCCTGGACAGGTTCTGCTCAGGGCACCGATGTGCAAGCCAATTATTCTGGCTCCTGTAGAAATAGAGAGACCAGCCCAGGGGCTGTTGTAGTAGGGTAAAAGTGTTGATTATCTAATTTATCTGATAGAATGAAGCATGCCTTTTTTTAAGAGACAAAAGTACTCACCTAATGCTAAATTGTGAGTTTTTTTCCCCGCATGGATAGGACTATTTGAGGACAATTGAATACCTTGATGGGTAATGTCTTTGGTAGCAGTTTCAGAGTAATTTTTAAAAAGAATTCCATTCATTTTATGGCTAAAGATATTACTTACTATCATTGAAGTCATGTCCAGAGCCTCCTCTTTGTTTCAGTCCTTGTTAATTCTAGAATGAGATACTATAGAAGAATCGCCATTAATCAGAAGAAAACTTGTAGTTTCTCTAATTCCTAAAAGGATTTTAAAATTTACATATTAAAGAAGTCAGAAGTATGTGGCCCTGTGCGCTGTTACTCAGGGATTCAAATACGTAGCTGTACCAGGGTGTTTATTTTCCTGTGTCTCCTTTTCAAAAGATATAGTGACATGGTGGTTTGAAAACACGGATGTATTAATTTCTTAGAATGAATAAACAACCACAAACAAACTTACTACGTGCAATGGAGGTTTATTCTCTCAATTCTCAAATGAAGGCCAATCTCAAATCAAGTTGTTGGCAGGGCTGTCGCGAGAATCCTCCCTTCCTGGTTTCTGCCAGTTGCAGCAATCTTTGCCATTTTTTGGTTGGCTAGCAGCTGCCTCACTCCAATTTCCAGAGTTGCCTTTTGTGTGTTTGTGTGCGCATATGCGTTTGTGTGTGTGTGTGTGTGTGTGCATTCACGCATCTCCAAATCTCTTTTTTCTTAAATGGATACTAGCTTTTGAATTTAGGGCCCACCCTAATCCACTGTAACCTTATTTTAACTTCATTACAACCTGTAAGACTTTATTTCAGTGTAAGGTCACCTTCACCTTCACAAGTACTTACGATTAAGACTTTAATATATCTTTGGGGAGTGCATTTCAATTCATTTCAGTAGAATACACAGCAAATCAACTTGTAATTCTTGATTGTTCTGCTATATTCATGGGTCCCACTGGGAGACAGCTAGGATCAAGGGACGCAGGAGTTTGTGAGGATGGAGTTGTGATAGGACTCGCAAAGCATGTGTGGCCAAATCCCTCACACAAATTAGAAAGTTTAGTGCTGAAAGAGCATTGACTTCCCAAAACTTAGTAAGGAATTTTATTTTACCCTCACTGTACTGAATTACTGATGTTGCCATTGTGTGTGTGTGTGTGTGTGTGTGTGTGTGTGTTTGCACATGCGCACATGCTTCTCTTGTGTCCTCTTAGCATTGATGTGTGTCCACTCTTTCCTTGATAAACTTGAAGGTTTATTTGTCTCTGGAGACTTTGAGAAGGCCCCTGGCACATCACTTTTATGAGACAAAGCCAAATATACCATATATGTACATATATATGTGGTGGTGTGACTTTCGGTGCCTATTAAGCCATACACTGTTGTACACTTGAGATTAAGTTTCTTTTCAGTAATGATGTGGTCCATTTCCCATGTGGGAACCTTGGCAGTGGGCTCCTCAGAAGCTGATTTTATAAATGGATGTGGATAGGGTGCCATTCAGTACCACAGAGAAGGAAACTTTTGGCCCTAAACATATTCTGCTGCTGTGATATTAGAGATAGTCATTTTAAAATATAAGGTAGTTTTCCACTCAGTGAAAATACCATGAAATAATACATTTAATTTTAATGTGAATAAATATTAAGATCCTGCTTTGGATCTTACTCACATGGGTGAGTAAGTTTTGGCACAGGGATTCTGAGTAGAAAATTAGATTAAAAGAAAGAAAATAGTATATGTTCTAGGAACTACCTCTTTATAATTTTCAAAGAGTTTATCCTAAAATTAAGTTGAGAAGCATGTCAGTGATTTAAAAAAAAATTCCATCTTTTAAATTATTTTTATTAGTTTTCAAATGAAGGCTATATTTTACTGAAAATTTCAATAGTACAGAAAGATATATGGTGAAAAAGCTAATCATTCTCTTTACTCCATTAACTACCATTAATTATTCAGGAATTTTCTTTGAGTAGTAACAATTATTAGTGATTCAGAAATTTTCTTGGCATAGACAAGAAAGCATTAATGAGTTTAAAAGTGTATGTGCCCACTTGGAACAGTAGTAACTGAGTTTGGCAAGTTGATTAACCTTTCTGTACCTCAAATTCTTCATCTATAAAATGAGGATAATAATTTAAGTTATTTTAAAATAAGATATATATGATTGCACCTAGCTTAGTTCCTGGCAAAGCATAGGCACTCCCTTAACTTATGTTTCTGTTACTGTTAAAGGAAGCCACGAGTAACTGAAATGTGTAGAACAAACACAGTTATCCCTACTTACCTGCAGGAGATATGTTTCAAGATCCCAATGGAAGATAGTATCAAACCTTGTATATGCTATGTTTTTGTTCTAAACAGACACATGTTTGATAAAGTTAATTTAGAAATTAGGTACAGTGAGAGATTAATAACAACTAATAATAAGACAGAAGTTATAAAGTATTTTAAGAAATGTTATATGTTCCCTCTCTCATTGTATCGTACTTACCTTCATCTTCTTGGGATGAAGAGGAATATATAATGCTTTTGCGATGGGATGAATTGAAGGATATAGGCATTGAGAGTTACTTGAACACAGTGCCATGATATTTAAACACTTGATCTAAGTGACTGATGGATGGGTAGTATATATAGCTGGATACACTGAACAAAGGGATGATTCACATTCTGGGTAGGATGACGTACGATTTCATCATTCTACCTAGAATGCTATGCAATTTAAAATTTTAAATGATTTATTTCTATAATTTTAATGTAATATTTTCAGACTATAATTGGCCACACATAACAAAAAACCCTGGAAAGCACCAAGATATGAGGAGACAACAATGTTCTTTAAAAAAAAAAAAAACAAAAAAACACCTTTTTCTGCAAAGGTTTTATTATGCGGAAAGGGAGGAGGATATTCTGTTGTTGGCTGCCAAGTTCCTCGTGGTAGCTAGAACATGATTTAGTTCCTGGCATGTCTTCTGAGTATGTTTCCAACTTTTTTTTATTAAACTTGAGGATCTGCTTGTCCTTGGAGACCTTCAGTAATTCCATGGTGCATCACTTGTTTGAGACAAAGCCTCATATACCCTTTTGAAACATATCCCACATAAACTTGCTATTCTTGGTGAGGCTATTACAAGAAATACCATAAACTGGGTAGTGAAACAACAAAAATTATTTCCTGCAGTTTTGAAGGCTAGAAGTTCAAGATTAGGTTGACAGCATGGTCAGGTTCCTGTGTGGGTTATTTTATTTGTTTGTTTATTTATTTTTTGGCTTATAGATGGCCACCATCTTGCTTTGTTCTCACGTGGAAGAGAATGAGACTTCTGGTCACCTCCTCTTCTTAGAAGGGCACTAACTAAGACAAGTTACCCTCATGATCTCATCTAACCCTAATTACTTCTGAATGCCTGCCTTCAATTACCATCACATTGGAGATTAGGGCTTCAATCTGTGGATTTTGAGAGGACGTCAAAGTTCAGTGCATAGCACCATGTAATTTTGAATTTGTATCATCAATTCAAGTTCAAATATGGACACTATTAATTTCAAATTCTACAGATTAATTTTACATTATTTCTAATTACATTTTCTTAATTCATTTGGGAGGAAGACTGAGATTAGAAATAGTAAAACTATTTTGATTTGTAGTACATGGGAGAAAAATGACAGCTAAGATTAATGATGGAAAAAAATAAACTAAATCTACAATTTCACTTAAAATATATGCTGAAAATAACTGAGCCCTTAATGGTAAGTTGCAAAGTGGTTTCTACTGAACCAGGAAGCCTTGGTTTCCTAGTTGAAGGGAATCACTGTCTCAGTAGATTACTGCAGTTGAATTTGGGACACTGGAAAAGTCCATTATATTTAGATATAGTATATTCAAGAGCTGTCCTTAATACATTCTCTGTCTGGAATAATGTCACGATTTTGAGC